TATGAGCAATCCCAATAGGAATGAGAGGACAGGCCCTTTGTCTTTCAAGAGGATACAACCTAAAAAGAGAAAGAGAATAAATTCTAAAATATTTTGTAAAGCCCATTATAAGCCACATAATACACACACACCATCACACAACATGTTTATAAATGATGTGAGGCTGTGGGGTTTCCTGGCATATTGGGCTGATTATTGATTAAGTTTGCTCAGAGCAAATTTTAAGTGAACTTTGAATGAAAGGGAAGAATTCATGACATTTACACGATTCTTTAAATCAAGAGTCAGTAAACTATGGTTAAAATCTGGCTTGCTGACTATTTTTGTAAGAGAAATTTTGCTGGATAATAGACATGTCCATTTGCTTATGTATTATCTACAGCTGCTTTCATGCAACAGTGGCAGAACTGAGCAGTTAAACCAGAGATGGTATTTCCTGCAAATCTGAAATAATTTACTATCTGGCAGTTTAAGAAAGAGTTTGCTGACCCTGCCTGAGAGGGGAGGGAGAAAAAAACAAGGGCAGAAGCAATGACTAGCAAGAAGTGATTATATTCCAATTGTAAAGTGATGGGGAGATGGATATGCATGTTTTTTATCTTAAATTATTTCTGAGACAAGGGTGGATATAGTTTAATATTAATATATAGCATGGTAATCATATAATTGTTGAAGCCTTGATTTCCTTATTTAAAAACTAGAAATGCTATCACCTACCAACAGATCTTTCAGAGAATTGCATGGGAGGGAAAGTCTTTTTCTCATGAAATGCGGCAGGGTTATTACCCTGGAGCTAACCTCTTCACTATCACTGAGTTGTGAATCATACGCTGTTCTTGCTGAAGCAGGGTCTACTTACATAAATATTTCCAACTTTTCTAAATGTTTCAGCACCTTCTTCTGAAGGAGGAACAAGATTGTCTTCTTTCATCATTCCTTAAGATTGTACTCTGGATTTCTCAATTTAGCTTAAGTGTGAACTAGAGTTTTAATCTGCGACAGTTTCATTGTGAATTTGAAAAAGAATATAAGAAATTTGACATTTCTTGAAATATGTCCTAAAACATCTTAGGACTTGTTGGGAATAAAAAATCATAATTTGAATATTCCTTTTTCTCAAAATTTCGAAAAAAAATATTTCTAGAGGACTACATTATCCACAAAAATATTCTAAGTACTCCCATGCTATAAAGTCCAGCTGTGAAACTAGTCCTACCTCGTGTATAATGCACCAAAAACCAAGCTGTGGAATTTAAAGTAATTTTAAGAATTATGAGTAGAGATGAACACATTTCCTTTTAAAGGTACTACTAAATTGAAGCTTATGCAAATATGCTATAGACATTTACATTCTTAAATTTCTAATCCTCCAACCCCTGCCTAGGATCTGAAATGTGCTTCGTGTTTCCAAGTACGTTCACATTATTGGTTTTATCCCATAATCTGATTTGGAAGACAGGGTGAAAGTAGTTATTCTTATTTTTTTCTGATTTAAAAACTGAGGCTCAGCTGGGGTAATGGGCCTATTCAAGATGCACATCAGAACTTCTGCTAATGCCCAGATCATTGGCAATACTTCAAAGGTCCTTGGAAAGGCACATTTTACATTGCATACAAACTGTTTTAAATGTCTAAGATTTAACTTTAAAATGAGGAATATATATGTGTTTATGTATGTGTCTATACTCACATCTATTTAAACTATAAATGTAAATATCTATATATCTATATATAGACAGAGGTAGTCCACATCTATTGCATATTTATATGTATACCCTATGAAATAATGCCTTCATAAGAATTTTAAGTTTCTATCTACAGAGAGGTTGTGGAAATCACACTCACTCTCTATTATGCTGTTGATTATTGCTAAGTGTCCTTTAAGAGAAAAATTTGATGGCAGAGGTGGCCCATCTAGAGTGGCCACTGTGAAGACGTTGGCTGTGTTGGAAGAGGTACAGCTGGGACTCTGTGCTAACAGGAGCTGGGAACAGGAAGGAGTCCTGCCCCCTTCCGAGTTGGAGCTGGTAATCCCAAGTGTGTCCCAGTCTGGCTGAGTTGGGGGGGTTTTATGACCTATGAGGGAGGAAGTGCATGCTGATTGGTCCATGGGCAGCCATGGGTGGGCCTGGAAAAAGCAACCTCCCTGGGTGCAGCTGCAGTCACCCAGCCACAGCTGCTCTCGGGGCCCCAGGAAGCACTTCCCCCACTGCCCCAACAGGCTCAGAAGTGCCCTCTCCCACTGTTAGCTTCTCACTGCTCCTAGCACCTGATTGAATTTTGGAGCAAAGATGAGGCCAAAACTGGGAGTCATTGCCACCTGGCCAGGTGTGCACACACTTGAGGTGGCGCTGACACGCCAGCTCCCTGCCACCTCGGCTTCCTCTGGACTTTGGACTGAGGAGTATGGGAAGGAGGCCAAGGGAACACTGAGGGCAGTTCAGCACAGGCCTGCAGATGCCCCTTGGTACAAACAGCCTGGGCACTGTGGAAGACAGGTAGGTGGTGGCAGGAGGCAGACAGGCACCTGCCCAGGTGCCTGATGCAGCCCAACCTTCAAGTAAGGGAAGGCCTGCAGCATGGGGACCAGGCTGTCAATTACAAATGGAGTCCTCAGACCAAAATAAGAACTTACGGTGTTTATTCTGGGCTCACCTATGATTGCCCATGGGCCAATCAGCACACACTTCTTCTCTTCTGAGCCCATAAAACTCCCTGGACTCAGCCAGACTCCAACAGCTGTCAGGACTGCCAGTTGCAGGAAGGAGCTACCCATATCTGGTCTCCTCTCCACTGAGAGCTGGAGGCTCTTGGGGAAGACCTGCCTGCAGAAAATAGCTACCCATTACAGGTCTCCTGAGAGCTGTTCTGTCACCTCATGAAGCTCCTCTCCACTTTGCTCACCCTCCAGTTGTCCCACATAGTTAATTATTCCTGGATGAAGGACAATAACTTGGGACCTGCTGAATATGTGACTGAAATAACTGACACAAACAAGGCTGAAACATGTACCCCTGCTCGCCATGTTGTGGGTAAAGAGAAGAAGAAAAGAACTAGAACAGCTGTGGCCCTTCAGGGAGCCAGGAACTAGGGGATCCCTGAGCCAGGGCTGTGACACCCTCTTTGGGGCTCTGTGGTTCCTGGCATCTCCAATTTTCTGGGCATCATCACGTTCCCCTTGTCCAGATGCAGGTGTCTGCAGCAGAAGCCATGTGTGCTGCATTTGGTTCAGCAGTAGCTTTGCACAGAGCGGCACCCTGCTGGAACAGCTGACATGCCTGGCTGTGCACAGTGGCCAGATCCTGTGCTTGCTTGCCCACACACCCCTGCTGCTCCACGCCTGGCTTGCCCTTGGCAGATGGGGAATCAGGGCCAGTAATATGAGCTAAGCACAGCCTGCCGGACTGTGTGCGTGAGATGAGCCCAGTGGGCACAAGCAGTACTCAGGCAGAAGGTGTCACTGGCCACAGAAGTTTCCAGCTGGCAAAGCGACACCCCAAGGATCCCATGACAATTTCATGAATTATACTTATTTTCTTCCGTCACAGCAGCTGTAGGACTCAGTGCTTATGTTGGAGAAGGAAGCTACATTGTCCCTCAGTTCATGGAAATGTCAAGTCTAGAAGATGGAGGAGTTCCGTTAGTATCTCCAGAGACCCACAGCAAGTTACTTATGCTTTTATACACAGTGCATGATCATTGTCTCTTGCCAACTGGACACAATTTAAGCACCTTCTATGTGCCGCAGGGTAAACCTCTTCAGCAAGGAAGTCTACCCATAGGCACACACAGATGATACTTGTTTAGTTTTCCTGTGTTGAAAGGAACATTCACTATGCATAATGAGGGGTGTTGGATTAATGTGAGGTGTTTTCCAAAAGGGAAGGGATGTTCAGATGCTTGAAGAAACAAGGCACTGTGAGGGTGTAGTGAAAGTCATTTACTCACATTGATAAATTAATTGTTGTCATGGCTGTGAACACAGTCTGCAGAGTGCACATGGTGTGTGTGTGTGTGTGTGTGTGTGTGTGTGTGTGTGGAATATACATGTGTATTTTAGGCACTGTTACTGCACTTATGTTTAATTTATAAGCCCAGTGAACAACACTACCTTGCCACAGATAAGCAGACAATCCTTCAAGTAGCCTTTTCTTTCCTCTTGGAGAGGAAGTCTCAAGTATGTGGATGTGTCAGTATGTAACCCCAAAACCCTCACTTTGTGTGCCAACTTCCCATTTCCATTAATTTTTGTTTTGTTTTATTTTTGAGATGGAGTCTCCCACTGTCACTGGGATTGGAGTGCAGTGGTGTGATCTTGGCTCACTGCAACCTCTGCCTCCTGGGTTCAAGTGATTCTCCTGCCTCAGCCTTACAAGCAGCTAGGATTATAGGCACACAGCACCACGCCCAGCCATTTTTTTTTTTTTTTTTTTGTATTTTTAGTAGAGACGGGATTTCACCATGTTGGCCAGGCTGGTCTCAAACTCCTGACCTCATGATCTGCCCACTGCGGCCTCCTAAGTAGCTAGGATTACAGGCATGAGCCACAGCGCCTGATCTCATTAATTTTTTATACTATTACTCTGGAATACTCTGAATTGGAAACTAAGATGGACCAAATGAGAAGGTATCAATTTCATATTCAAGACAGTCTCACTTTAGAGACTTAGGGAATATGGGAGATACTCTTGTCTTAGTAAAAGAACATTTTGAAAGTACCTATTAAGAGGAATTTTATGGTCAAATTCCAAAACTAACTTAAAGATATATTTATGTCTTATTTCAGAAAAATCCATTTCTTTGATCAGCCTTCCGTGATGCTTATAATTTCCACTGTGAATATCATCATCCTTTTGGGTTTTAGTATTTTGTTTTAGAATGCCTCTAAGAATATGTATCATGTGCTAAGTCAGTATATTAAGTGTTGTGTCTTTGGGACTCTGTTTCTTATAGACACTGTTGAGTAAATTGGTGCATCTGAATAGTCTGTCCACTAAAGGAAATTGCACAGGGCAGGTAAGTTTTGATTCATAATAAGGACAATGCATTTATTCAATCACTCATTTATCCAAGCATTACCGGTTTCTTTGTTGAAAATGCTTTATTGATTTTTCACTCTGAAGGTTGAATGTTCACAGGAGATGCTAATCCTGGGTTTGGTGAAGGCAGTCACACCATAGTGTACCAGGCAAAGAGGAGCCTAAGTTTGCAGAACCAATATTCACAGTCAATACACCTCGTGAAAAGGGAAATTATGTTAGTCAGAGAATCAAGGTGAAGTTTATTCTACCTCTACCTTACCTCTGGGTGATCCTGACCACTGCCCACATCACTGGAGATCTAGGTGGCAGAGGAGACTGTGAGGTGTCTTAAGACAACTGTCAGTGTGTTGCCTACCCAGGAACACACACCAGGGCTCCTCCCTTACACTGTGGCTGCCTGCTGTGGCCCTCTTTAGGATTCTGGGTTATGGGCCCTGAGACAGGACTTTAATGTTAAGCCAATAAAATGATGCTTTAAAAAAAAAGATGTAGAAAAGACTAACAGACCATTAAAGCAAGTACAAGGACCCTGCAGATCCCATTCTTCTAAGAGTCAAAGACAAGATTTACCAGGTTCCCATGATCTGTGTCCCACCTCCATTAGTTCCTCAATACTGATCCAAATTCAGCTCCCTATTCACTCACTACAGAGTCCTCTTTATGAAGACAGGAAATGGGGGTTTCTACAGTACTTAGAACAGTGCCTGGAAAACAGTAGACATTCACTAAGTTTTTTAAAAGCAACACATGAAAAATTGATGTCTTACCTTTTCTATTCCACAACTTACCTGAGCTTCAGATTGCTCATTTAGTAAAGATAAGATCACTGCCCATTTTGCAGAGAAGGTGAGAGGATAAAAACGACCGTACACATAAAGGCACTGGCAGAAGTGCTCACTAGACAGCATATATATTAAAAAAGAAAAAAAATATTATTACAGAGTGTCCTATAGAAAGTTGGTACTGAATAGTGATTTGATTTGCTTCCTCACCTCTTTTATTCTTCTGAATATAAAAATGGCAGTTAATACTTACCGTGCTTTTACTATATGGCAGGCTCAATGTTAAGCACTTAATAAGCATTGTCTCACAAACTTTGCTCAACCTGTGAAGAGAGAAACACATGTTCTCATTTTTTAGATGGGGATTAAAAAAGTTCATTTTTTCCCCAACATCACACAGCCAGTGAACAGTCAAACCAAGGTGCAAATTAGATTTACCTGACACTATCGTTCTGCACTTCACTACAGCACTATACCAAAAGTATAAGGAAAACAACTGTACTCTCAAGCTTGTGTCAGACCTTGGTTAGATGACTAATATATTATCTATGCTTTGAAAACTGGGACATAAAGTGTTTCTTACAAATAGACGTTATGAATCATTTACATGTTTGTGTGTTTTGTTATTTGTTTTTGATTTTTGTATGGTTTTGGTTTTCTGCTGTTTGTTTTTTAAATCTCAGGGTAGCTTAAATAGCCCAGCTAACTTAACAAGTTTGCCTAAACCATCCTCATAAATCTCCATCCTTGACTGCAAAGAGTTGATGTGAAGGTCTTCATAATATATAAAATAAAGTTATAATCTGTCATTGATTATTTCCTTGCAAAGAGCAATAATAAAAAATTAGATTTACACATGTTATATTGCACATAGCACATTTTTTAATCATGGAACTAACTTATTATTTCATAGGTGTTATTGTTATCCTCCAAGATCACTGGAGAGATTAGAACATTTGCCACATGGCCACACAGCTAGCAAGTGATGGAGCCCTTGAGAAATTACGAAAACTGAATTTTAGCAATTGATTTCATAGGTGTTAACATAACTCAAGAACCTAATTCATTCTAACTCCAATGCTCTTCGCCACTGTATTAAACTATAAAATGCTATATAAAGGTGAGAATTTATTGTACCTTTTCTTATACCATTATTCCATGTGGAAATTTCTTCTCCAGAATGCCGTCACATGAACTTAAAGTTCCCATCTACAGAAACCCTTTACAACTATTTATTCTGTGAACTGAGCTTGTGATCACTCTCACAAGTATCTGAGAACAAAGTTCAAAAATGCCTTTGGCATAACAACCTATACTCATCAAGTGTCTGTCTGACCACTTTGGCTGGCTAGAGAGGCTCTAAGCTGGAAAGTAACAGTTAGTTCTGACAAGGCACTTAAATGGGTTGTCTAAAACCAAAGGGTGGCAATCTTCCCAAATTGATGTGCCAAGGTTCTGATCCCTTACTGGGCAGAGGGGAAAGTTGCAGGCTCTTTTCTTGTTGCTGATGTTCTCAGTTGCCAAGGGTACATGCCTGCCAGTCTCCAAATCAACTTCTGGTCAAGACTGGAGTTAATATTGCTGGTCAAGACTACCACTTCTGTAGACTAAATTAGGTATCTGGAGAAGCAATATTAATTCTCTCAAGTTGCTTAAAGCTAAGGAGCACTTCAGCATCCCGATACATTGCTTATGTAATCAAAGTCAGCAGTATCTTATGGCTGATGGTGTTCTTCCCTTGAAAAAAGATTCTCAACAAACTTAGGAGATTTCCTTCTTCTTCTACCTCATAATCTGCTGTTATAATCTTGACACGATTACCCAAGACCATCATTCCCATTCTCTTCTACATTTTCTACCAAAGGCAGCCACATTCATTGAGTTTAAAAACATCTAAATTTCTCGTTGAGCTGTGTTTTACTCCTAAACTCATTCATCAACATCTGTCTCCATCTTGTCACAAGTTACTTACTATTATGGGATGGGTCCACTTGAGTAGACACCAGCACCCTTCATATGTACAAATGTGTACATTATATCTTATAGCCCACCACAAACCACTGACACTTTTTCAGGGTGTACCAAAAGCAAGATCAAAAATGTGATGAAATGCCATAAAATTGTAAGCTACCAGATTCACGACAACATTCAAAAGTTTGGCAGGAGGGCATCATTAATATTTGAGAAGAATCCCTGCTTTTTGGCAGGAATTCTGCACACAACTTTTCAATTAGCATGCTTTATGGCTGGGGAGAAGCTGGTTTATTGGTTGTAAGTACACTGTCTGATTGAACACTTATCCTGTCAGATAAATTACAAAGGAATTTGTACAACTTTACCCAGACTCAGACTTAGCTCAAGATTAATATGAAAACAGGGCCCTCCCTCAAGTCTTCTTTGAGTTCTTCTGAGAGTTTTCTTCATTAAGTCTTCTAAATGCTCTGCTTTGCTAGTGGAACATTAAATGATATTCTTACCAGGAGGTGTGGGATGGAAGTGTCAACTAAATCTTCTCAGAAGAATGATCAGATGAAGACATTGCATTAGGGACTGGGAGTGGATTACTTCCCATGACACAACCTTCTTGCTTTCTGCTTGCTATGGGTTGAAACACAATTAATATAACTTGAGCTGAGTAGGATGAAACTTTAACTTAATAAATGAAAGCTTTACGGTGTCTCTTCCATTTTATGATTTGTGCCCTCTGTGTAAAATCCCAAAACATCAATAGGGACTTTCTCTGGGAATATTTTATTGTTTTGCAACACTTTAAATATGTTTCTGAGATTCTGTATGATCCTATTTGAGATGAATCATGACTTAAGGATGTTCTTGACTTACTGTTGCATGAAAGGGACCCCAAACATTTCTCATTAGAGAGGACTTTGTCCTACGTAAAGGAACTTTTCCATCACTATCAAACTGTTGTTAGTAAAAACTTACAGGCCAATGCTTTCGTTGTTCTAAATTTGCAGCCTGTTGGTAGAAAACACTATTTCCCTTGTGATATTTATGGTTTAATTTGAAAATCAAACACAAAAGCAAATTCTACACTAACACTGTGTACACACACATACAAAATCTCTTGAGGTCGCATCATAACAAGTATTCAAAAATTCTGTGATTAACAGCCCTAACACATATGTATTGTGCTTTGAAATTGAGATGTTATATCTAATAACTAATCTAATTTTCTCATTAACTTTGAATATATCTAAAGCAGCTGTTATTCATATAGGACACATTTATAACCCGAATATATATAGAATTTATAATAATTACCATATTATTTTTATCAATGTCTTATCATTAATCGATTTGGTTAACAACATAAGTATTTTGTGACATGAGAAAATAGGGTACATTATGCTAATAGTAAGCAAGCCAAAATTACTTTGACAATCATTGTGTCCAACTGAGATTTTTCTAGATGGGTGCTATCTTTTCAATGGTGAATTCCTCAGGACAAGGACTAGTGAGACACTCTTTCTAAGCAAAACCTTTAAGGGGGCTTCAAAAAGCTTAGTAATCAAAATAAATAACATTTTAAGATTATATTTAAAATCTAAATTAATGCAAAAATGCATAATGAACAAAATATCTGAATTTTAAATCAAGACAAGGTTTGTAATACTAATATTTCCTTTTCCTCAGGTTTCACTGTGGTTCAGCAGGACACTAGAATGACTCAATTTCCTAACAGATCAATGGTAAATATTCACTTTGTATTATTTGTATAATAATATTTTCGGCCTTGATGTTGCACTAGTTTTAAAGTGTTAACTCACTCTAATATGTGATTCTTTTTCCACCTAGACTGTAAACTCTTGAAAATCAGAAACTCCGGGTAGACCTCTCTATTACAGTAAACTACTGATCATAATAACTGTTTAGCCCTACTTAAAACCACAGTTGAACAAGGAGAAGACAATCTTCTTCTTAAAAGGCTATGTATAAAAACAAGAAAAGTCATACAGGCAGCAAATCCCGGGGGGGGAAAAAAAGCAGTGGTTTATTATCTCTGCCACTCAGTACCTGTGTGACCTCAGGCATGTTACTGAACATCTCTGATCCGCCATTTCCCCACCTGTGATATGAACATTTTACTGAGTGACTCTGAAGAGTCAATGAGATAACCAGTGTGAAATACTCAACGCATACCAGGCACTAAGGGTTTTTTTTTTCTTCCTAAATTGCATTGTCTCCATCATATCTATAAAGAACCAATGTACACTTTCAGCTCCAAGATGCCAACCAAGTAGGCAGTCATTCTCTGCGGATCATCACTGGGTACACAGAAGTTTGCCTGCACTCAAGAGCTAGCTCCGCCTCCCCACCTTTCCTGACCCTGGCTATATCCTTCTATTGGTTGTCTAACCTGGGGCATACACCAGATGGCAGTGTCCCATTGAGGACAAGATATTTCTAGCCTTTCAGCTCGCTGACCAAGTGACCAGTTGCTTTGCCATGTCTGTATGCATGATACAGGTCAATAGCCTTAGCCTTGGGGCCTAGTTGATGTTCAATGTAAAAATAAACACTGGAAAAACCTCTGTACACATTCTATTCCCCTTCAACTGCAAAGCATTTCATTTGCAAGGTCAATTGGAAAATGTACATATGTGATACAGTAGTGAGTATGCACTTCAAATAAGTTTGTGTCAATATTTACATTTGTGTGCACTTTACCAAGTAAGTACATAACGATCCTTTATGATCTGACACACTGCTAGGCACCAAAGCTACAGGCATTAGGTATGCAGGTTCGCTACCTTCAAGCAACTCATTGTTTGGTAGAAAAGACAGATTTTTATGCAACCAATAATAATACAATGTGATTATTGTTATTCTATTTAACACAGATGACTTCCAAACTTTTAATCTTCTATATATCAGTCTTGGAGTTAATGCATTTCATGGATTTTACTGAGTTCACTTGCCTTCAGCTAAAACCACTCAAATACAAATACATCCATTTAAAATATATCAAATCTTTCTATCTTGCTACAATGCATCAGGTATGTGATTTTTGACATTTATACCATATCCACTTTTTAATACTAAGAAGTAGTATACTCAGCAATTCTGCCACCTCTATCAATTTATCTTATAAATATTTACTATGGGATGCCAGGTACTGTGCTTATGGAAGTGTAAATATGAATGAACTAGAGTTCTCCCTCTAAAAAAAGGTTAAAAATTGGTTGGAATGTGCAGTTCTGCTGAGTGAGTGCGCTGCAACCACGTATGAATGTGTATGCTCTTATTACATATGCAATTCTTAGCTGTGCTACTGCTACCTTTGGTAACGTTTGTGAACTGACGGCTGAGTCATTTACACAAGGGATGTGTGTGTATGTGTGTGTGTTTGTGTGTTGTCACTTGGTGTATGATTATGATTGCTGAAATTAAAGACCACTTTTCTGTGTAGTACTCACAAACACACACATTATCTAGGATTGCCAAACTGAAAAAAATAATAACTACAGTAAATTTATCCTGGTCACATATCCATTACCTTTTTCTTATTTGTTCCCTTCCTGTCTCTGTCCTGAGCCACGCTGCCTCTGACCAGGAGCAGTCATGTGGCCTCCTGTGACCTCTAAGGACTCACAGGAATCTGATTTTCCTACTGCATCCCGCCAGCTGGGGCCTTGGGAACATGATACCCCCTTGGATCTTTCACAGGCTCTGCTCTGGCATTTCAGAGTAGGCGCCACACGGATCCCTGCCTCTCTTGTGCCCCAATCTATGCAAGGACACTGCCCATGGCATTTCAAAGACCAACTCTGCTGCTGGGAGGCTTTCTGTCCCTGAGAATCTGACTGCCAACACCAGTGAAGACTCAGCAAAGAGGCAGTTCTTTAGGTTCCTTGGCCAGTGGGGCCCCAAAGGTGCCTATTAAGAGTTGCACATGGCGGACAGATTAAAGTTCAAATGCAACTGGATCATTATCTAAGATTTAGATGAAAAGGGGATTCGAAGCCTTCTCTTCTTTCTCAAAGTGTTGATAATCACACTATCTCCTCTGCATGAAAGGGAAGAAAGGAACTAGTCCCTGAAATCCTGACTTATCTGTGGAATATTGGAACTGGCATCTACTTTTTTTGGCCATTGATGTTTTAGGAGGCATCGTAGTGACTATCTGTTCCTTCCTATAATTCACAAACTCCGCAACTGAGCCTAGGAATCTGCATTTTTTAAAAGTGCATCATGTTTTTCTGATGTAGTCTAAATGGAAGACACTGCTTAAAATTTCTTCCTAACCCAATGCACAGTGAGTCTATTATCTCCAGGATACAAAAATGGTAGGTTATCACACAAAATCAGGTAAGAAGACAGGAGCAGACCAAGCTTAGACCTCAAGTGTCCTGGCACCTTGTTGACTTCCAGCCCTCTGCACTCTGCTGACTCCAACGGAGCGCAGGTTTTACCACGTGAGCTTCAAATGAGGAATGACACCTGGACTCTGCATGAAAAAGGCAGATGGGCACTTGCAAGGCTTCCACCAGACTCCGAAAATGACAAAATCATTGTTGAATGCTGTGAAAAGAGAACCAGAGGAAAAAGGAGTTGTGAGTTCTGGGAATGAGATGATAAAACGATGCAAATTTCTAAAAATGAAAGAAGACAGCAAAGAATGAAGTGAGGGCTGGGGTGGGTAGGTCCTTGGTTGAATCAGGCTATGAGGTGTGAGAAGAACAGCTATGTTCAATTCTGTAAAGCAAGTCATGGGGCCTGGGAAATTAGCCAAACAGAGCAGGCTCTGGGAAAGGGTGACAGTCCCGGAGAAGGGAAGAGGGTGGCATAGTGAGTGGGAGGTAGTAGTGTTTTTATGAGCTCCCGCATGGCATATCCAGATCACCCATGGCTTCCACCCTGAAAAATTTATCTCTAGGTCACTGTCAAGATGACATAAGGGCAAAAGGAGTAATCACAATGACTACTAGTTATTGAGCATGTGCTCTGCGCATGGAGCGGGTCTCTTGCTGGCACACTCCTTTTTGGACCCAAAAGTGATTTACTATGAAGCTACACTCCAGGGCTCTCACTTGCATAGACCTCATTCATGGTCCTGGGAGGGGGCCCTAGAAATGTGTTCATTCAGACATGTGTTTTACAAAACTTACATAGAATGATATTTTTCTATTCTGTTTCAGGATTATTTAATCTCTGGGCCCCACAAATCCTGTTCAACCTTGAACCTTGGGGAGGCAGGTGATGGTGGTGATTCTGGTATTGATGACACCACTCAGCAGCTGCACCATCTTAGACAGAGAACATTCTCCCTGAGCCTCATTGTTCTCATCTATAAAATGGAGTTATCTACCTTAGCCAACTTTATAGTGACTCAAAGGATCAAAGTCCATCCTAGTGAATGGAGAACTCCAAGAAGTATAAAGCACTCTTTTATTTCAGGGTTTTAGATACTGTCAATATCCTTGCAAAGAAATGTTTAGTTTAAAATGAGAAAAAATGTATTCCAATGGAATTATTAATATACGAGTAAGGACCCAGTCATCTGTGCCTTTGGATTGGCCAGAGTCTAGCTCTGGAATAGAACAGTTACTGACAAAAAGGTCTTTAATGCTTATTTACCTAAAAGCAACTAGATCCGTTCCCCTCTTCCATCACAAATGTTAACTTCCCTACATCAAAGACGATTTCACCAACCTCTCTGTGTACCAGAGGGAGTCCATGCAGAGGAAATCAGAAACTGTCTGCTCCATTAGCAATGCACAAATTGTTTATGGTCCAGGACCAGTTGAGAAAGAATTGCTTATAATGCAATTCTCAAGTCATCAAAGCCCTTCCTACACATGTAGCAAGCTTAATGCTGATGTCTCAGTGTTGCTCAGGAGAGGACAAATCACTTGGCCTTCCCCAGTGTGGTGCTTTAAAGTTGCGGGAAACTTTGAAAGAAGTGTCTTCCTCCCAGCATAAAATTCCTTAGTTTACAAGGTGTTTCAGTTGGCCCAGGTCCTCAATAGATTTCTTTCTCCTGAGTATGGAATATCTGTCGTTGAAGGTCAAGTTCAGGTGCCTAATTGATACATTCTTATTTTTCCTTGGTGTCGGCCTTTTCTTTCAGAAAGACCTCCAGGCATCCCTTGAGAGAATGCCAAGCATGTCTGTGCTGAGACAAGGGAATGAGAATAGCACGAAGAAATAAGTGGTAGATAAGAGAGAAATAAAGCATAAAATCTAAGATGCACTGAGTTCCTCTACTGCAGCAGACGCTTCATACATATCATCCTCTTTAACCCTTTCTAGCAGAGTTTTACTCATTTTTCAGAAAAGACATCTCAGTCTCAAATAAAGAAACTTTCTGAAAGTCAACAACTAATGAGAGAAAGTCAACATTACACACCATACTTCCAGAATCCAAAGCTCTTGAACATTTTTTTCCCCACATTGCCACCTCCTTTAAAATAAGAATAATGAAAAAAAAGAAAACAAGAAAGTATTTTGTTTTCTCAAGATTACAAACTAGGCTGGACGCAGCGGCTCATGTCTGTAATCCCAGCCCTTTGGGAGGCCGAGGCGGGCAGATCACCTGAGGTCAGGAATTTGAGACCAGCCTGGCCAACATGGAGAAACCTTGTCTCTATTAAAAACACAAAAATTAGCCGAGTCTGTTGGCACTTGCCTGTAATCTTGTAATCCAAGACCACCTACTCGGGAGGCTGAGGCAGGAGAATTGCTTGAACCCAGCAATCAGAGGTTGCGGTGAGCCAAGATCTCGCCGTTGCATTCTAGCGTGCATGACACAGGAGACGCCGTCAAAAGAAAGAAAGAAAGAAAAGAAGCTCAAGCCTGTAATCCCAGCACTTTGGGAGGCCGAGGCGGGTGGATCACGAGGTCGGCAGATAGAGACCATCCTGGTCAACATGGTGAAACCCCGTCTCTACTAAAAATTAAAAAAAATTAGCTGGGCACGGTGGCGTGTGCCTGTAATCCCAGCTACTCAAGAGGCTGAGGCAGGATAATTGCCTGAACCCAGGGGGCGGAGGTTGCGGTGAGCCGAGATCGCGCCATTGCACTCCAGCCTGGGTAGCAAGAGCGAAACTCCGTCTGAAAAAAAAAAAGGTTGCAAACTGGCTCACACCAAGTGTAATGCAATCAGATTCCATGGCCACTACTTAGTTTGTTTTCAATTCCATATAATCAACATGGCTGCAGTTCTTTTAATCCCCTGAATGGCCATAGCATACATTGCTGGTTCCATGCCAATCCCCAGCTCCCAGCCACCACTGAATGCAAGCAAGTTACTCACATGCCTTGAAAAGTTCCTTGACTCACCCTGTCTGTGACTACAGTCAGGGTTCCTTATCAACAAGGCCGAACTTTCTTGAGAGGGGAGGGCGTCTCAGCAGCACGAGCTGCTACTTCATCCTCCACACAAAGCTTTGGTTGTGTGGCTCCATAGCCCCCTTGCCAATAATGAAATGGCCATGTGTGCAGTACTGTGAAGGGCCCCAGATAGTTGGCAGGCATGCCAGCTGCAATGGACTGTTTTGAGTAGCTGGAGTTTATGAGTAACGATCTAGGAGAGCATAGTTATTTTCTCTGAAGTGGGCCACAGTGAGTTCATTCTGGTTTAAGGGGCAGTGTCAGCCTATGAGTAGTGTGCTGTTGGGGAATGCTAAGTGAATATTTCATGGTTACCTATACAGAGTGCATGTTTTCTCTCTGCTTTTATTCACCCATCCATTCATGTAATAAATATTTATCAAGCAACTACTATAATACATGCACTACACCAGGAACATGGAAAACAAAGATGAATAACGCATAAACTGTGCTCTCTGTAACTTAGAGTTCAGATAGGAAGGTGTACATGTAAACAGAGGCATTTGGTAAAGTGTTCCATGTATTATAGCAACAACATGTCTAGGGCTGAAAAGAGAATGTGGTCAATAGATCTGGGGAGGAGACAGAGGAGAGTATTCAGAAATTCTTCATAGGGGAGAGCTTTCTTGCAAGAAAGCATTTTCAGCGGGAAAATAAGAGCTGTTGAATTAGATCAGTATGAAATTAAGTCCTAGTTCTATTGACATTGAGCTATGTAATCATGACCTTGATTTTACCTTTCTGAGTCTCCTGTGTACAGTGAGGATGACCCTACCTCTGCCTACCACAGAGACTTGCGAACATTGAATGAGATTCATGTTGGGCAATTCAAAGAGAGTTTTTAATAGTTGTATATAATTCAGTACTTTTCCAGAGAGACAGTCCCTCTGGGTCAGAGGGATGATTTTCCTGGTCAGGCTGCCTGAACTTAGGTACGTGAATGTTTCCTTTTACCAATCTAAGACGTGCCAAGAACAGGGAACCTTGACCTTAAAGATTAGGAATGTGAGCTGACAAACGAGTTTAGTGACAACCAGGTACACGTGGTAGATAGTGATCACCATTGTTCCCTTGAGGAATGATGATGTAGTTTACAACCAGATGGAATGTGTTAGCCGTTACTGCATGCTGTCCTTCTGGAAGAGTGAGAGTGTCAGATATTCATATGTGGAAACCTGAACAGAAGATAAACAAATGTGACTTATTTTGCAATCTTTGTCTTTTTAGACTAGTCAATTATATTACATACTGGCTGCCTTTTCAGATTTATAAATCATATATTTTCTGTTACATTTGGAAAGTTAAGTCCATGTAATAGATTTATCAATAACTCAATAAAATAAAGTAGTGATTATTACTACTGCATCAGTCCAGGTTCTATATTGCAAGCAACAAAATATGACTCTGGTTTACTAAGAGAGTTTACTGAAAATATATTGAGTAGCCTAAAATATCATTAGATAGGCTCAGGAACCAGGCTAACTGCCAATCTTATAGGAGCTGATCTGTTAGAAAAGCAAGAAAACTATAGCGCCCACCATTGAACATTAGATGCCAATGCCCTATTCTTGGAACATTTCTGAGGAACTTGGCCTTATTGTTCTATTAGAGAGGAAGGAGCTCTCAATCCCTTCCTTTCTCCATCACTAGGCCTTTGAAGCCTCTGATTGGCGGTGCACTGGCTGTAATAGAAGGCGGATGAGTTTACTCTTTCATTTTCAGAAAATAGAGTCTAAGGCCAGGTGCGATGGCTTATGCCTGCAATCCCACCACTTTGAGAGTCTGAGGAGGGCAGATTAACTAAAGTCAGGAGTTTGAGAGCAGCCTGGGCAACATGGCAAAACCCCATCTCTACTAAAAATACAAAAATTAGCTGGGTATGGTGGCAGGCACCTGTAATCTCAGCAACTTAGGAGGCTGAGGCAGGGAGAATCGCTTGAACCCAGGAGGCAGAGGTTGCAGTGAGCCAAGATGGCACCATTGTACTCTGGTCTGGGCAACAGAGCAAGACTCTGTCTCAAAAAAACAAACAAAAACAAAAACAAAAAACCAAACCGCCATGGCACGTGTATAACTAACAAACATGCACATTCTGTACATGTACCCCAGAACTTAAAGTAAAATTAAAAAATAGAGAAAAGAAAGAATATTAGAATCTATAACATAAGGAACTCCCAAACTAACAGTGTTGGAAAAGATGTTGTAGATCCACAAACAAGACAGGCATCTACTGTAATAGTTAATTGTTATTGTCATCATCCTTATTACTGCCCCTCGTGATCCAATAAGCATTTATTGAGGCACAA